TTTTTTAAAAAGGGGGGGGGGGTCCCAGGGGGTTTGGAAGGGGGTAAAGGATTTTTCACTTATTTCCCCACACGTGCAGAGGTGTTTGATAGGAGTAATGGAGACAAATTTTTTAATACATTTTAATGGAGCGAAACTTTTTTGGGCAGGGAAAAACCGGCCCGGATTTCCTAATATTCTGCCTCACTCGGGGGGGGGGGGTTTTGTAAGTTCATTTAAAACGTATTAAGCACCCTTTGGAAGCAAAGTGATGGGGGGAAAATTTTTCTTTTTTCGGGCCACCCTCCTTTTTGGGGAATGGCCATGTTTTTAAAAAAAAAAAAATTTTTAAATATATATTTATTATATATTATATTTTTATATATTTTAAAATTTTTATATATTTATATTTTATTATTATATATAAAAATTTTTTTTTTTTTTTTTTCAAAAAAGTGGCCGTCTCCCACCGAGCAGGGCCCAAAAAGAAAAAAAAATCCCCCAAAAGGAAATACTTTCATCTCTTAAAACATTTCCCCAACCCCAAACATTATCACTGCTTTTGCAGAGGTGCTCAAAATACAAAGCTTAGAAGTAACATAAAGATCACAACATATCCCCCCAAAATGCCAATATCCCAAACCCCTCCTTTAAAGTGCAGGCTTTGTACTTCCCATTTCCGGGATCGGGGAAATATATGAATAACCGGTTTCCCTGAATCCCTTACTAAATTTACCCGCTCACACTCCAAACAGATGTCAGGGTCCCAAGTATATTCGCCTCCATTATCCCATCTAACACGTCTGCCCCCCTTGCTGGAAGTCCAAGCCCCCAGCCCCCCAAAAACCCCCTTTACCCCCTCTTTCCCCAACCCCTTTCGGGACGCCCCTACCCCCCCCCTTTTTCCCCCTTGATTTTTAGCTTTCCATGTCATTACTTTGATCCCTTCTCTCTAATATTATATATATATATTTTTATATATATATAAATATTTATATTTTTATATATATATATATTTAATATTTTATATATATTTTTTTTTTTTTTTTTTCAAAAAGTCGGCCGTTCCCACCGAGGCGGGTGACCCAAAAAAAAAGAAAAAAAAAATTTTCTCTATTCAAACTTTACAAAATTATACCTTTTGCAGAGTGCTCAAATACAACCCGCTTAGAAGCATATAGTTTTTAAAAAAAAAAATATCCCCCAAAAAAGAAAAAACCCAAAAACTTTTTTAAAAAATGCAGGTTGTATTCCCATTTCCGGAAAGAATTTTGAACCCCCGGCCCCTTTAAACCCCTTTTTATTACCCTGTCACCTCCAACAGATCGTAGGCCCGTATAATTCGCCCCCCCTTCATCCATTAAACGCCTGGTTGTGGAATCCCCCCTAGCCCACAAACCTCCTTTTTCCCCATTTTCCAACTTTGAGGACACCCCTCCCTTTTTCCCCCTTGATTTATTGCTTTCCCCGTCTTGCTTTGATATTCTTTCAATATATTTAATTTTATTATATAATATTATTTTTTTTAAATTTAATTTTTTAATAATATATTATTTTTTATTTTTTTTTTTTTTTCAAAGTCGGCTTTCCCCCGAGGGCGGGTGCCCCAAAAAAAAAGAAAAAGAAACAATTTTCTTTTTTTCTTTTTTTTATTTTTTAAGGAAAGGGGTTATGGCCCTTGGGTTTTTTTTCTCCACAACACCAGGCTTAGGTGGGTTTCTTATTTCCCCCCCAGGGATTGGGGTTTTTCCGAATTTAAGATTTTTCGAAACCCTATTGATAAAATAAAATTCATGTTGTTATGTTTCGGGGGGCCTGGGGAAAATTTGGGGGTCCGCCCCGGGCCCGGTCTGTGACCAGGGTCGGGTGGGGGCCTTCAAAGGCGTTGCTGTGGCTGCACCGCAAACCAAGAGAGACAGGGCGACAGGAAATGCTTTTGGTGCTTTCCGTGCCGCTTGGACTATCTTTGGAACCCCCTTTGTTGGGGAGGATTAAGTCTCGGGGCCCCGCCTTTTTGTATTTTTAACGGCTTGTGCCCTGCCTTTTATTGGGGGGAGGTTATTTGCCATCTTTTGTTTCTAGTGATGATTTTGTGTGAAGCGGGGACCCGTTCTAATTTTCCGGTTGTTAAATATGGGTATTTTCCTGCTTCCCGGAATAAGGTTTTTAAAATAGGGGTAGTAAATTGGGTGTTTTTCTCCTTTTTGCCCCGTGGAAAATTTTGTCATTTTTTAGGGGCAATTTCCCTCCTTGAAAGGGCTGTTAGGGGCTATTCAGCTTGATGAAAAAACCAGGTTTCCTGGGCTTTGGCCCCCGGGGGTTTTTCCCAACCCCCGTCATTTTTTTTAACTGTCAAATTTTGGCCTTGGGGGGAGCATTTGGCATTTTTTTTAGGGAAAACATGGGGGGATAGGTTGAATTTTTGTTTTTTGGTTTTTAATAAAATTTTTTGTGGGGCCTTCTTTTCAAAAAATTCATTTTGTCTTCGGGGAATTTCTCAGTCTTGGGTTTTGGGCGGGGGGGCCCTTTCCTTTAAAAACCCCCGTGGGCCCATTTTGGGTGCGGGGAGGTTTTGCCTCACCCTTTTTTTTATTTTTCCCCTTTGCCTGGGCCCCTTGGGGTTTTAAAAGGAAAAAACCCATTTTTTTTTTTTAGGAAAGTTTTTGGAAAGTTAGCAAAGGGGGCCTGTTTAAAAATTTCCCTTTTGAATATTTTTAATTGGGGGCAGGTTTTAAAAAAAAAGAATTTTTTAGGGGGATCCCCCATCATGCAAAAACAATCCCCCCAAAAAAGGCCTTTTTTTTTTTTTTAAACACTTCCCCTTGGGGGAGACGGGGCCCCCCCCCCCCCCCCGGCCCCCGGCCTAAAAAAAATTTTCAACCCCCTGGATTTTTGGGCCCTTTTTTTTCTTGTTTTTTTTTTAAAAACCAAAAAAACCTCCCCCCCTAACCCCTTTTAATATTATTTTATATTTTTAATATTTCATTATTATATATATATATATTTTAATTATATATATATATATATATATATATATATATATTTTATTTTTTTCTTTCAACACACCCGGGCCCTTTTCCCCCCGAGGCGGGGTGGCCCCAAAAAGGGAAAAACGAAAGTTTTCCTTTTACATTTAGTAATTATACGGGGGGAAAAGGGGTTTTAGCCCCTTGCTCCCCCATTTTAGTGCCTTTTTAAAACAGCATGGGTTACGGAGGAAGAATTCTATTCCACTCCCCCGGATGAGGAAATAAAAAAGAATAAGAAAATAGAAAGAAAATAGAAAAAAACCCAGAGGGGTGTTATATATGTATGCTTGAAATTTTAGTGTAGTGTGCCCAAGTGTGAGTAGAAGTGCAAGACATACCCGAAACCTTGCATGTTTATGAGACAGAAAAATGGAACCCAAACAACCTACCTCATGTAAAAAAATTCGGTTACATTTTTACTCACTTGGAGGCGGTAGTACCTCCCCCGGGCGGTTTCGTTACAACCCACTACCTAGAAGTGGGAAATTTTTTCCAGGAGGGGGGGATCAGCCCCCTTCAGCCCCCTTTAGCCACTTTCGCCCGAGGGGGCCCAGCCCTTCAGAAGGGGAAAAAGGGCTTGTTTCTGCTACAGTGAGTAAAATTTATCCGTGCCGTACGAGTATGCGACGTGGTAAGTGACCGTGTCCTTGTGTCCTGGTTGCAAATGTAGCTTAATAAAAAAACAGTTCTCTCTTATTTAGCGGGGTAATTAAGGAAAATCCGCCCCACTTTTTACCATGGTAAAGATAGTGGACTTGTTGTCTTGCTTAAGCAGCAAAAATCAAAAAATTCTGCTTTGCTCATCGAGGAAGTGGCAAAGGGAAACAAAAGTACTATGTCAGCTTTTTTTTTTGTGGGGAGTGCGGGTGGGGAGTGTGGGTCTTTAGATTATTTTGACTTTTGAGAGTGACATGAGCCCAGGATAACCAACAAAAAACGATCTGTGCGTTAGTGTGAACAAAAAAGTCTCATAAAACCAATAAAAACTTTAAAAGAAGTGTGATCGCTTCTTCAGTGTAAGATTGTGAACAAAAAGACAAATCTTGTGGAACATAGTGTACCGTGGCGTTTCTAACTATGGAAGCGGGGACACAAGGACACTTCGCTTCTATCAAGTCCCGATATCTGTCGAGGGGGGAAGAAACCATAGCTCACGCTACAAGAGCAAAGGGGGTTAGAATTTTTTGTAGTGGGGGACTGCCAGTTCTTGAGTGCAAGGAGTTTGTAAACAACCCATAGTCGGCGTAAGGGGGCGGACTTTTGAGTCCCAAAAAAGTAGTAATCTGTCAGCAATCAGTGAATGAAATATGCTGAATTTAAAACCCGTAGGGGTAATTTTTAATCTACAAATTTAAAAACTTTAAGCCCCTTGAGAGATGCCTTCGACCCTTTCAAACCTCGTCTGCGGGGCGGCTGTGCAGGCGATGAGTTGTTTTCTAAGTTTAAATACAAATCTTTTTAAATTAATGGTAATGCCATTTCTCAAAATAGAAAATATACAGTGGCCCCCGTGTTTAAAGATATTTTTTATTCCCGAAGTTGTTTTAGGTGCCCATACTGACCGAATTTGTTCCCATAAGGAATATTGTGAAGTAGATTAGTCCATTTCAGACCCCCAAACATACATGTACAAACGCACTTACATAAATACACTTACATAATTGGTCGCATTGGGAGGTGATCGTTATGCGGGGGTCCACTGTATGTGTATATATATATATATATATATATATATATATATATATATATATATATATATATTATATATATATATATATATATATATATATATATATACACACCACACACTGGAGTATTATTGATAAAATACAATGGAAAAATTAATGAGAATGACTTGCAGGAAAGTATTTACAGTACATTATCATACAGTAATAAAGAAGCACTGAAATGAATACTCACTATGTTGTATATACTTCTGTAATTACCAAAATTCAATAAAAAATAGCAATCTTATTAACTGATATATGCACTCCCAATTATCATTTGTTACTGAAATACACAAAGAAAATAAATACCAGGTTCCATTTTGAACTGAAGACAGTAGGAAGGATCTGACAGAAGGCGATGATATGTAACCATTGCATCATACCAACCAGCCACTTGATGTGCTGGGATAGAGAAAAATGAATTGCGCTGTGGTTGGCTGAAGTTGATGCGCTGAATTTCACCAGTGGCATTAGTACTGGAAAGAGTTACCACCATTTAATCTAATAAGCACTGGTAAAATTTGCTTTATGGTTGATGATGATAATGACTGGGCATTCAATCACTTTAAGCACGAAAAAACATATTTTATGACATTTGACCCATAATGGTGTTCCTGTTCATCTAGCAGTAAGTAGGTACCCAGGTGTTAGCCGACTGGTGTGAGTCGCATCATGGGGGACAAAATTAACCTAAGTTACCCAAAATGCTCAGCATAATAAGGGGCTTTCTATATATTATCTCCCTTGTAGGTTTAGCACTTCTTTTTTTATTATAATAATTTCTATAGCATGTCACTGATATCAGCTAGGTCTGTACAAGTTATATCATGTACTTGTAGTAATAAAGATTATTATTATTATTATTATTATTTTTATCATTATTATTACAATGGGGATTTATTGGTACATAATAAACCCCCACTATAGGGGTAACTTTGGAAGTTTTACATAGGAGCTGAGGCAACTACAGGGAAAAGCTCTGTTCCACAAGGCACAGTACTCACTCCCATTCTTTTCCTCATCCTCATATCTGACACAGACAGAGATGTAAGCCATAGCTCAGTGTCTTCCTTCACGGATGACACCCGGATTGTCATGACAGTGACCTGCATTGAAGACACCGCAAGACTCCAAGCAGACATCAACCAAATCTTCAAATGGGCCACTCAAAACAATATGAAGTTCAATGAAGAGAAATTTCAACTACTCAGATATGGAAAACTTGAGGAAATTAAAAGTGAATCAGGGTATGCAACAAATTCTAACCATAAAACAGAGCGAAAAATTAATTTGAAGGACCTGGGAGTGATAATGTCAGAGGATCTCACCTTCAAAGACCACAACAATGTATCTACTGCATCTGCTTGGAAAATAATAGGATGGACAGTGAGAACCTTCAAAACTAGGGACGCCAAACCCATGATGATTTTCTTCAAATCGCTTGTTCTCTCCGGGCTGGAATACTGCTGTACATTAACTGCCCCTACAAGGCAGGCGAAATTGCTGACCTGGAGAGTGTACAAATAACTTTCATGGCGCACATAAGTACGATAAGGCACCTAAATTACTGGGAATGGTTGAAGGCCCTTGATTTGTATTCCCTGGAATACAGGTGAGAGATACATGATAATGTGAATTGCACCTGACTAGCTTGTGCTACTAGGTCAGAAGCCGTGCTCCTTCCTTAAGTGAATGTAACCTGACCTGACTAGGTTAGGGTGCTGCCTTAAGCCAGTAGGAGAATTGTACCTGCCTCGCATGGGCCAGCAGGCCTGTTGCAGTGTTCCTTCTTTCTTATGTTCTTATAATATACACTTGGAAAATCCTAGAGGGATTAGCACCAAACTTGCACACGAAAATCACTCCCTATGAAAACACAAGACTTGACAGAAGATGCAACATGTCCCCAGTGAAAAGCAGGGGTGCCAAAAATACACTGAGAGACAACACAATAAGTGTCCAGGGCCCAAGATTCTTCAACTGCCTCCCAGCATACATAACGGGGATTACCAATAGACCCCAGGCTGTCTTCAAGAAGTCACTGGACAGGCACCTAAAGTCAGTGCCTGACCAGTCAAGCTGTGGTTCATACATCAGTTTGCATGTGGCCAGCAGTAACTGCCTGGTTGATCAGACCCTGATACAACACAAGGCCTGGTTTCAGACTGGGCTGCAGGGGCACTGACCCCCGAAATTCTCTCCAGGTATACAGGTACACATAAGTACAATTATCATACATAGTGTAAATTACCTAGGATAGCCCCAAAAAAAGGTCAGAGAAAAATTGCTTATTTCCTGGCAAAATGCTCATGCATGCTAGTAGCTTTCTTATAATATATATCTTTATTTACTACAAGTACATGTACATGGTATACAGACCATAGCTGACATCAATGACTTACTACTATATAGAAAGTTGCTTGTTATGATGAGCATTTCAGGCAAATTAGGTCAGTTTTGTCCCAGGATGCGACCCACACCAGTCGACTAACACCCAGGTACCCATTTTGAACTGATGGGTGAACAGGGACAGACAGCAGGTGTGTTATGGAAACATGTCCCTAATGTTTTCCAGCCGTACTGGAGGAGATTCGAGCCCTGAGCGTGCTAGAGCTCAGGCTTAACAATATTTTATTTCATGTTATCTACACATTGTATACTAAGCAAAGAAATAAAAATTTTGAATTTTGAATTTTAATTTTTTGAACCGAGGTCCTCAGGGCTGATGAAGGGCTTGTGATCCAAGGAATTGGTGTTCCTCTCCTCAGATCAAACCACATCATGAGGTTTAGTTAATATAATATCTTTATTATGCACCCCATACCCATCCTGTGGGCGGTAGTCAAAAGATTACAGAGGAACATAATGGATCCAGGAACTGGACCCCAAAGTTTTGATAGCTGAACAAATTACAAAGGTAATGAACTTTTACATGTCTATATCTGGTCACAATTATCACCAAGTTACAAAGTAGGTAATGAAGAAAGATTCAAAGAGGGAGACCCTGGAATATTTCCAAAAAGGCACAAAAGAGTTGTAGTCTCTAAAGCATCCATTACCTTGTCAACTAGTGTTATGCTAGTGTTAAGACTCATTTAAATGCTATGCATACCCAGGGACCTTCCACTATGTCTGTAAAACACGTTACTTAATTTTATAAAAACTATATACCATACTTTCTGGAAATAAGGAATTTTAATTTCAATTTTTTTTTAATTTTTCAGTATTAACTTGACTAAGAGAGTTCTACCCTGAAGACGGGCACTTTGTGTTATTAAGTGACTATCACATGCTTGAGTTACACAATTAATGTTTTATGTTTAAAGTTGAAAGTCTAAATAGCTTTTGTTTAGTTGTATTATGTATTAGTTTGAAGTAATATTTATTAATTTGTAAAATTAACAGGTGTTTATTTAAAGGGCCGAGTTATGTGAGTCACTTTGCTGCAGTGTACTCACCTAGTTATACCTAACTAGTTGTGCTCATCTAGTTGTAGTCACCTAGTTTGCATATTTCAAATCCTACCTTACTAATAGGTATCAGTATGTCACCATTAAAGACACAGCATCATCAACATGGCCACTTGATACTGGAGTTCCGCAGGGAAGTGTCCTTGGACCCCTGCTCTTCCCCATTTACATCAATGATCTTCCAAACGTATCCCAACACCCAAAACCCATTCTCTTTGCTGACGACACGACTTATGTCATCTCTCACCCTAATCTTGCCACCCTCAACACCATTGTTAACGAGGAGCTGCTCAAAATATCGACTTGGATGACAGCCAATAAACTTACACTTAACACTGACCAAAACCTACTATATTATGTTTGGTAGCAGAGCAGGTGTTGCGCAACTTAACATTACGATCGACAACACTCTAATTGCCAGACATAATGAGGGCAAATTCCTAGGCCTATACCTCGACAACAACCTGAATTTCAGCACCCATATCCAACACATAACAAAAAAAGTATTCAAAACGGTTGGGATCCTCTCCAAGATACGATACTACTTGCTGCAAAATGCCCTTCTCACACTATACCATTCACTCATTTATCCATACCTCACCTATGCTATTTGTGCTTGGGGATCAACTGCAGCAACACACCTAAAGCCAATAATAACCCAACAAAAAGCCACAGTAAGAATAATCACTAAATCCCATCCCTGGCAACACTCCCCCCCCCCACTCTTCATAGATCTAAACTTACTCCCTGTTCAGAACATCCATACTTACTACTGTGCAATCTACATCTACAGGACCTTAAATTCCAATATTAACCTTGACCTAAAACGCTTTCTTGACAGTTGTGACAGGACCCACAGGCATAACACCAGACACAAACATCTCTATGACATTCCCCGTGTCCGACTAAACCTTTACAAAAATTCAATGTATGTCAAAGGCCCTAAAATCTGGAACACCCTACCTGAAAACTTTAGAACTGCAGACACATTCATCATCTTCAAAATTACTGTTAGAAAACATCTTATCTCCCTGATACACCCCGTCAACTAACTACACTTACACTCACTCACTCACCCATTTGACTATAAACACAGAAATACGAATCTTAATCTTAAAATAATGAATCCTAACTAGTCATAAGCTTGCCTGTGATACTCCAATATAGAAACTATGTATTGTGCCAAAACGAAAGCATTCACACACTATAATTTAGTCACTTAGCCATAATACCAACTTACTCCATAATTTGTAATAATTTAGAGTTAAGAATTAATCTAAGTCTGCCCGAAATGCCTAGCCATGCTAGGTGTCCTAGTGGCCCCCTCTGTAATTAGTATTTTGTAACATGTAAACCACACAATATCCAAAATCTGTAAACCCCACATTATAATCCTTATAGAGAATAAACTTGATTGATTGATTGATTGATTGATTGCTAGTTGCACTCATCCAGTTGTACCCACTTAGTTGTGTTTGTAGGGTCAAGTCATAGTTCCTAGTTCCACCTCTTAACTCTTATCGACCTGTTTTACTGATTCCTGGCCTCCAGGTCCTAATGATATTTACTATGGAAACTGTGTATGTACATATATGGAACATTAAACTAACCAACATACCATCACATGATTTGAGACATCATCTACTCTTCATAAAGCTTTGTGTATAAATTATCTATCATACTCTGGATAAAAAAAAAAGACATTTTTACAATTTGTCTGTATATTTATGAATGTTGTTACACTTGAAATACTACTGCCACTCAATCCGCTAATGTATACAATACATATTATTCTCGCCTGGTACTGTACACCATATCTTTGTTACTCCTTCAATTGCATTGAAGATTCTCCAGATTGCATCTTCTGTTCATAATACCTATCTATCAATTCCTTGATGAGACTCAAGCTACCAATATTTAAAACAACTCTCTTCAACTAATGAGCACATTTGTTTTGTGTGTAAAAGTTCAGATATTCACTATCTTTAAACACAGCTAACTCACCAAATCATAGGAATTTGTAGAATTTTGTAAAACTCTCCAAGTTCATCCACACCCTTATCAAACCAATCGACTGGTGTCTGCGTCAGGATACTGTACTTCTCAGGATACAGTGTCTTTAACTGGTGAGCAACATGGACAGCATCAGCAAGGAGAGATTCTCCTCCTGTACCTTCATACTGGACAACACAATGGATGAACTGAACCTAAGAAATTTATGAGAGAAAAATGCATATATCAAAAGTGTTTCTGTAGACATGAATCACTAATATTTTCAGCTGGATACATAAATATATCACAACGTCATCTCACCCTCCCTAATGATGTTCCCATTTTTAATGCAGTCTCAATGACTTCAAAATGACACAAAACATCTAAATCAACTGGGCAGAGGCGTCGTAAGGGGGGGGAGGGCCGCCCCGGGTGACACCATTTAGGGGGTGACACCATAGAGCCTCTAAAGGTGACACTAATGCCCAAAACAGTGCTGCACCAACATAAGAGAAGAATCCTTCATTTCTATATAGCTTATTATATATTAACAAAGTACAAATAAGTCTATACATGTATAGGGAAAATCATTGATTTTGATGATGAGATAGGTGATTTTGCATAATTGATGGCAAGGAAATATAAGATCAGATTCACTGAGATGCTACCTGTACTCAAGGTCAGATCGGAACTAGTGTTTCTCTGACATTGCAATGTTTTACTTTATTTTTCAAGTTTTTTTTTTTTTTTTTTGGCATTGTTAAAGATGAATAAATGTAGCATCTTTTGCCTGTACTCAAAGTGGAGTCTGTTTCCTCAATATTATTACGTTTATTTATTTTATCATTAATAAAGTCGAGAAGTATTCTCCTGTTCAGTTTATGGTCGTCCTTAAATGTTCTCATTGCTAAACATTTGTTGCTGGTCATGCAGTAGTGACATAACTGGAGTTTACTCCCCACCCCCTGCCCTTGAATTTCATGGGGGTGACACCAAAGATGCTGCCCCGGGTGACACCAGAGATGCCGCCCCGGGTGACACCATCTCTAGCAACGCCTCTGCAACTGGGACTTCTTTTCTGCCAATGTCCTTCCCTCAACTCCTCTACCTTTTACAATATTTGTTGTGTACCACTGAATGATCCACACAGGTTTAACATGTTTCATGAATGTAATAAAAAATAAGAAACTTCATAACCAAAAACTGAACATTTTCAGTTGAATTTTTTAACAAACTACTGTAGCACTCATAGCAAGACCTGCCATTATTTAATATAGCACATCACTCACCCCAGGTTTATATTCATAGTACGGAAGATCAGCATGAAGTTGCAGTGTACCACTCAGGTATGCAACATTACTGGGATCACTTTTAGCCTTCACTGTGAATTCTTCCCTAAAGAGAAATGTAATGATATGTAATAACAAATATTTCTTCACTCCAAATCCAGAAAATATTTTGTCAAAAATGCACATTAATGAAAAAGCTATTTAGCTTTGGAAACATAAAACTTATACAGCAGCTTATTATGGTTTCCTCAGGATGGAAATCAATTGAATTCTATTGTAAATAACTACCTAGCATTGGAAAGCATACAAGTAGCACGGTTAGCAGACACAGACACTATGTAAATTAAAGGAGTCAAAATATGGAGCAACCCGACCTCTGAACAGGAAAACTCTCTACCTTTCAGATTCAGATTCATTTACTTCTTCGCAAGTAGTACATTGAGATTATATTTTTACAATGATGAATTGCAGTGCAAAGAGAACCTCTATTATGCCTTTGCATTATGGGCTGACTTAATTTAATGGCTTACTGACTACTAATCACTAAAGAAATTATCATAGTTGCACAGTAGTTCTATTAATAATAAGTGAATCTAATTTATATAAACAAAGGATGTATTCATGTATTCATAAAAGTTTCTTATGAAACATAAATCAGGAGTAGTTTACAGTAGTTTTCAGTATGAGATTGCTACTATTTGGTAAAGGGCAAACTGGTTTTGGTAGGTATGTATACTTCTATGTAGTAATGTGCCAATATATGAGCCTGGTTGACTAGTATGAAGTTTTAAGATTTAGGTAACTCATGGATTTATTGGTAGTGTTGAACATTGAGTATTGTGTGTTTAGTCTAGGGTGATTAAGTGGCTTTTGAGTAGAGTCTTAAATTTATTTTCAGACCTGGTTACTTTGGTATTTTCTGGTAATGAATTCCAAATTTTGGGGCCTTTCGTGTGCATAGAGTTTTTACACTGTGGTATGGACATGGAGTACATCAAAAAGAGATCTGTGTCTTGTGTTATGGTTGTGTGTCCTGTTTAGATTGTTGAGGAAAAGTTTGAGTGGAGGTTTTATGCTTGCATATATTGTTCTATGAATGTAATAGGCACATGAATAAGTATGGATGTTCTTTATGGTGAACAGATTTAAACTTTTGAATATTGGTGGAGTATGCTGTCTGGAGTGGGAATTTGTTACCATTCTGACTGCTGCCTTTTGCTGGGTTATTAGTGGTCTTAGGTGATTTAATGTTGTCGAACCCCATGCACAAATTCCATACGTGAGATAAGGGTAGATGAGTGAATGGTACAGTGCAAGGAGAGCTGATTGTGGAACACAGTATCGTATCTTTGATAGTACACCTACAATCTTAGAGATTTTCTTGGTTATTTGTTGTATATGTGTCTGGAACTTGAGGCAACTGTCAAGGTGGATTCCTAGGAATTTTCCCTCCGTGAGTCTTGTGACAGGTGATCCGTTTAGAGTTATGTTAACTGGAACATTTGCAGCTTTGTTTCCAAACTGAATGAAGTAGGTTTTGTCAGTATTCAGTGTAAGTTTATTTGTCATCATCCAGGCAGATATTTTCTGCAATTCGGCATTGACTGTGTTGGCAAGTATGAATGGGTTTGGGTGAGAGAAGACGTATGTAGTGTCATCTGCAAATAATATGGGTTTGAGAAGCTGTAATGCATTCGGTAGGTCATTGATGTAGATGAGAAAGAGGAGTGGTCCAAGGATGCTTCCCTGTGGGACTCCGACTGTGATTGGTTGTGTGGAAGAGTTTGCACCATTTGTGTACACGTATTGGCTTCTGTTGCTAAGGTATGACTTCAGGTAGTTGAGGGAGTGGCCTCTTATACCATAGTGTGTTAATTTAGTGAACAGCAGCTCATGGTCGACTGTCATGAAAATTTATTTATAATTTTACACTCAGAATGCTGAGCAAGATTTAATATAGCATTAAATTTTATATTTAATAAATTCAAACAGAGTGCTTTTCAAAAAGTAACCATTGTCAAAATGTGCTTTAACAAAAAATATCTATTAATGCTAAAACAATGAATATGCATCTAGAAAGGTAAACACACACACAAAAAAAGTAGACGAGGGCCCCGCTTTAGAGCGCTTCGCTTTGTGGCATCTTGCTCATTAAGTTTTCAATTATACCCATTTTTCATTTGTTCAGACTTCCTACAATATATTCATCACTCACTATAGGCTAAAGACAAAAATATTTTAAGGAAAGAAATGTGTGTACTGTATGTGCATTTTTTAGGCCTAGCTCTATTGCTCACTTAATACATAGTGTAAACATATTATCAGGCTTTTATATGTATTTAAAAGTGAAAAAAAAGGCTATGATTCACTTTACAGCAGTAGCCCAGAACTTAATCTCCTGTACGTATAAGCTTGGTCCTCCTATATACAGCTTATAACATTACATTTCTATATAAAACATTTTTATAACAATTAGGTTAACTTACCCATAATGAGTCTTCTTAATGAAGGCAACCCTCTCAGCAAGTCTGCGAACCTGGCCTGGTTCAGCTGGTGCTCCAGTAACGAGGACGAACCCCATTATCTCTAGCTGTTGTAGCCACGACAACAAGGCAGAATCATCTATGAGAAGCTCATGGAATGATGCCTGAGGAAGGTTTTTGAGTAACTCAGCTCCCCAGTAGCTACGATTTAATCTGCATATTACAAATGGTTAAGCTTAGAATTTTTTGTAAATATAATTATTATTATATTTATGGGAAAGCAGTAATATAATAATTACATCACTCATTCACATAAGAACAATATTTAGTGAAAATCATTTTCAATCAACTTTTATTTCAACTAAAAGATATGTACCAATCTAGCATACAATAGTTCAATCAACCTGAATTTCCGTGCTTGTGCAAGGCGTTGAGTTTCGTTGAATGCACGAGAGTAAAGCCAGGCAGCTGGGTATACTGCACGGTGTCCATCAGTCCACACTATCTCCAACTGTTTACCTTCCTCCAGAACCTAGTGATAATTATTTTGTTGATAAAACACGAGTTGCAAGCATCATCTTAGGAAATCAAGTTACATTATTACCTGCACAGTACTAGAATGTGTAAATACACCTGGGATGTTAATAAGAATTGTAACTGAAATACAGTGGACCCTCGACCAACGATGGCATCGTCTAACGTTAAATCCGACTAGCGATACATTTTAACGCCAAAATTTTGCCTCGACTAGCGCTAAAAAACTCAACCAACACGATTCGTTCTGTTCGAGACGTGTCCACCTGTGGCCAGTGTTTACAAGCCAGCCAGCCACCGCAGTCCCATCCAAACATACAATCGGAACATTTCATATTATCACAGTGTTTTTAGTTTACCTGGAGTTTACCTGGAGAGAGTTCCGGGGGTCAACGCCCCCGCGGCCCGGTCTGAGACCAGGCCTCCTGGTGGATCAGAGCCTGATCAACCAGGCTGTTGCTGCTGGCTGCACGCAAACCAACATACGAGCTACAGCCCGGCTGATCCGGAACTGACTTTAGGTGCTTGTCCAGTGCCAGCTTGAAGACTGCCAGGGGTCTGTTGGTAATCCCCCTTATGTGTGCTGGGAGGCAGTTGAACAGTCTCGGGCCCCTGACACTTATTGTATGGTCTCTTAACGTGCTAGTGACAACCCTGCTTTTCATTGGGGGGATGGTGCATCGTCTGCCAAGTCTTTTGCTTTCGTAATGAGTGATTTTCGTGTGCAAGTTCGGTACTAGTCCCTCTAGGATTTTCCAGGTGTATATAATCATGTATCTCTCCCTCCTGCGTTCCAGGGAATACAGGTTTAGGAACCTCAAGCGCTCCCAATAATTGAGGTGTTTTATCTCCGTTATGCGCGCCGTGAAAGTTCTCTGTACATTTTCTAGGTCGGCAATTTCACCTGCCTTGAAAGGTGCTGTTAGTGTGCAGCAATATTCCAGCCTAGATAGAACAAGTGACCTGAAGAGTGTCATCATGGGCTTGGCCTCCCTAGTTTTGAAAGTTCTCATTATCCATCCTGTCATTTTTCTAGCAGATGCAATTGATACAATGTTATGGTCCTTGAAGGTGAGATCCTCCGACATGATCACTCCCAGGTCTTTGACGTTGATTGCACCTGCAAAATAAGTCACCATGGGCCCCAAGAAAGCTTCTAGTGCCAACCCTACAGCAAAAAGGGTGAGAATTACTATGGATATGAAGAAAGAGATCATTGCTAAGTATGAAAGTGGAGTGTGTCTCCGTGCGGGCCAGGTTGTACACAAAACACCATCAACCATCGCTACTATTGTGGCCAAGAAAACGGCAATCAAGGAAGCTGTTCTTGCCAAAGGTGCAACTATGTTTTCCAAACTGAGATCGCAAGTGATAAAAGATGTTGAGAGACTGTTATTGGTGTGGATAAACAAAAAACAGATAGCAGGAGATAGCATCTCTCAAGCGATCATATGTGAAAAGGCTAGGAAGTTGCATGAGGATTTAATTAGAAAAATGCCTGCAACTAGTGGTGATGTGAGTGAATTTAAGGCCAGCAAAGGTTGGTTTGAGAGATTTAAGAATCGTAGTGGCATACATAGTGTGACAAGGCATGGTGAGGCTGCCAGTTCGGACCAAAAAGCAGCTGAAAAGTATTTTTTTTAATTATTATCACACTGGCCGATTCCCACCAAGGGAGGGTGGCCCAAAAAAGAAAAACTTTCACCATCATTCACTCCATCACTGTCTTGCCAGAAGGGTGCTTTACACTACAGTTTTTAAACTGCAACATTAACACCCCTCCTTCAGAGTGCAGGCACTGTACTTCCCATCTCCAGGACTCAAGTCCGGCCTGCCGGTTTCCCTGAACCCCTTCATAAATGTTACTTTGCTCACACTCCAACAGCACGTCAAGTATTAAAAACCATTCGTCTCCATTCACTCCTATCAAACACGCTCACGCACGCCTGCTGGAAATCCAGCCCCTCGCACACAAAACCTCCTTTACCCCCTCCCTCCAACCTTTCCTAGGCCGACCCCTACCCGCCTTCCTTCCACTACAGACTGATACACTCTTGAAGTCATTCTGTTTCGCTCCATTCTCTCTACATGTCCGAACCACCTCAACAACCCTTCCTCAGCCCTCTGGACAACAGTTTTGGTAATCCCGCACCTCCTCCTAACTTCCAAACTACGAATTCTCTGCATTATATTCACACCACACATTGCCCTCAGACATGACATCTCCACTGCCTCCAGCCTTCTCCTCGCTGCAACATTCATCACCCATGCTTCACACCCATATAAGAGTGTTGGTAAAACTATACTCTCATACATTCCCCTCTTTGCCTCCAAGGACAAAGTTCTTTGTCTCCACAGACTCCTAAGTGCACCACTCACCCTTTTCCCCTCATCAATTCTATGATTCACCTCATCCTTCATCCGCTGACACGTCCACTCCCAAATATCTGAATACATTCACCTCCTCCATACTCTCTCCCTCCAATCTGATATCCAATCTTTCATCACCTAATATTTTTGTTATCCTCATAACCTTACTCTTTCCTGTATTCACTTTTAATTTTCTTCTTTTGCACACCCTACCAAATTCATCCACCAATCTCTGCAACTTCTCTTCAGAATCTCCCAAGAGCACAGTGTCATCAGCAAAGAGCAACTGTGACAACTCCCACTTTATGTGTGATTCTTTATCTTTTAACTCCACGCCTCTTGTCAAGACCCTCGCATTTACTTCTCTTACAACCCCATCTATAAATATATTAAATAACCACGGTGACATCACACATCCTTGTCTAAGGCCTACTTTTACTGGGAAATAATTTCCCTCTTTCCTACATACTCTAACTTGAGCCTCACTATCCTCGTAAAAACTCTTCACTGCTTTCAGTAACCTACCTCCTACACCATACACCTGCAACATCTGCCACATTGCCCCTCTATCCACCCTGTCATATGCCTTTTCCAAATCCATAAATGCCACAAAGACCTCTTTAGCCTTATCTAAATACAGTAGACCCCCGGTTAACGAACTTTTTTCATTCCAGTAGTATGTTCAGGTGCCAGCACTGACCGAATTTTTTCCCATAAGGAATATTGTGAAGTAGATTAGTCCATTTCAGACCCCCAAATATACACGTACAAACGCACTTACATAAATACACTTACATAATTGGTCGCATTTGGAGGTGATCGTTAAGCGGGGATCCACTGTACTGAAAAGTATGTGCAGGAATTCAAGGAGTACATAGACAGTGAAGAACTGAAACCTGAACAAGTGTTTAATTGTGACACTGACAATGTTGTGAAACACTTAAGGAATGTCATAAAGGAACGGGAGGTACAGGCCTCTATGGACAGATATGTTGTGCGACAGAGGCCCTGACTCTCAAGCTGGTCCTAGTGGCATTAAAAGAAGAAGGTAAGTAACCCCGGAAAAGGACTTGACACCTCAAGTCCTAATGGAAGAGGATTCTCCTTCTAAACACTAACACCATCCACACTCTCCCCTCCTCCAATCCCTTCAATCATCACCAGATCTTCAATAAAGGTAAGTGTCATGTAATTGTACATGTCTTCTTCAGTTTGTATGTATTAAAATTAATATTTCATATGGTAATTTTTTTTTTTCAATACTTTTGGGTGTCTTGCACGAATTAATTTGATTTCCATTATTTCTTATGGGGAAAATTAACTCGACTAACGATAATTTCGATTAACGATGAGCTCTAATGAACGGATTAATATCGTTGGTCGAGGGTCCACTGTACGTGGGAAGTACAGTGCCTGCATTCTAAAGGAGGGGTTTAAGGTATAACTGTCTTATCTGCTCACCTCTGACAAGACAGTGATAGTGTAAATGATGGTGAAAGTGTTCCTTTTTCAAGTCACCCTCCTCTAAGGAAGACAGCCAGCATGTTACAAAAAAAAGATTTACAATGTGTCACAAGCTGCATTGGTAATATGTTAAGTTATTTTTATCAATTTAAAGGAGCACGGCCACATTTAATGGATTTGTTTGTCTCATCTCTACATCTTGTATTACCTACTGATATGCAATGCAGATTAACCCCACTTGTTCAATGCTTTTTCATGAAAATAATAATGGTAATAATAATAATGGGAAGTCTGAATGTGCGTGGATGTTGTGCAGATGATAAGAAAGAGATGATTGTGGATGTTATGAATGAGAAGAAGCTGGATGTCCTGGCTTTAAGTGAAACAAAGCTGAAGGGGGTGGGAGAGTTTCAGTGGAGAGGAATAAATGGGATTAGGTCAGGGGTTTCAAATAGAGTTAGAGCTAAAGAAGGAGTAGCAATAATGTTGAAGGATAAGCTATGGCAGGAAAAGAGGGACTATAAATGTATTATATTCAAGGATTATGTGGAGTAAAATAAAGATTGGATGTGAAAAGTGGGTTATAATAAGCGTGTATGCACCTGGAGAAGAGAGAAGTGTAGAGGAGAGAGAGAGATTTTGGGAAATGTTGAGTGAATGCGTGGGGAGTTTTGAATCAAGTGTGAGAGTAATGGTGGTTGGGGATTTTAATGCTAAAGTGGGTAAAAATGTTATGGAGGGAGTAGTAGGTAAATTTGGGGTGCCAGGGGTTAAATGTAAATGGGGAGCCTTTAATTGAGCTATGTGTAGAAAGAATTTGGTAATAAGTAATACATATTTTATGAAAAAAGAGGATAAATAAATATACAAGGTATGATGTAGCACGTAATGAAAGTAGTTTATTAGATTATGTATTGGTGGAAAAAAGGTTGATGGGTAGGCTCCAGGATGTACATGTTTATAGAGGGGCAACTGATATATCGGATCATTATTTAGTTGTAGCTACAGTTAGAGTAAGAGGTAGATGGGAAAAGAGGAAGGTGGCAACAACAAGTAAGAGGGAGGTGAAAGTGTATAAACTAAGGGAGGAGGAAGTTCGGGTGAGATATAAGCGACTATTGGCAGAAAGGTGGGCTAGTGCAAAGAAAGAGTAGTGGGGGGGTT